TTGAAAGAAGACCTTAACCTAAAGTATTCTTTAATGTGTTAATAAAGGTTAATTAGTTTGTCTGTTTTGCACATCCTCCTATTAATATCTTTATACATCCGGCACTAAACTGTTTTATTGTAGAGATCACTTACAGTATCTTCTTGATTTTTTATATTCTATATTTCTATCATTGACCTTCTACTTTCCCCCTATGAAAGTATGTACTCTTAATATTTTATTCATCAAATAACATTATTCAACAAAAATAACATTATTCAACAAAAATAATTCAATAACGTGCTTTAACCACTAGGCGGTGCACACAAGGTACACACAGTATACTAATAATAACTTTGTATTATTTAGTGTAGGACACTTATGTATCTGAAGATGTGTAGTTTTATTCATGTTTTTACATAATTTTACAGGATATTGCTATATTATTTCTCATGTTTTACTTCTACACATTAATATCTGATTTGTAAAACATCACAGACAGAAAGGTATATCCGTCATTTGATGGTAAGCTATTGAAATTCTGAATCCATAGATGTGTCTCCCATCACCCAAATCCCCTGACTATTCTCTCAACTCAGTATTTACATTCTTATATTCAAAGAAAATCAGTAATATCTTTAAAAACTACAAGTCCTTTTCTATCAGCTGTGCACCGTTATGGTGTAAATATAACCTATCTACCAATTGGATCAACTATAAAAGTCAGTCGAATTAGTATTGATACTGCAAGGAGACGTATTTTGTGAAAAGAAATGTAAGTTTAATTGTTGATATATTTATGATCCACGTCACGTATTCAGTTTCGGCGGCAGTTCTTCCTGTTTGTCTAGAAGTCTTCTCATCAGGGCTCTATAAATAAAGAACTACGGCAGATAGTGTAATATTTAATGCAGCCGACCTGTGTATTACAATGCCGTTATGTGATGACTTCCAAAGAGAAAAGCAAGAACACTCGGAATAAAGTATTATTATTTTTTCTTTTTTATGTTTTCGGATTTCACATCGCATAAACACCATATCCCAACGTGCATTGCGGCTAAAACATCCAATCAGCGAGCTGAGGATCTTCCCTACATCTGTTTCCGGTATTGTTCCCGTAATGAGAGTTCACATTTATGCTACATTGAAGGGTGGAATTGACTACACATCTTCAGAAACGTAATTTGCTTCAGATATAACTCATAGCAATATTGTAACCATCAAGAAAAGCCAACTGCATTAAAAACCCAGTTAACAAACACTAGGTAAAGTATTTTTCGTTCAGTAATGAAGATGTAATTCCAATGTAGACACACCTGGGATCACTGTTCAGTCTGTTACGTTGAGCAATGCATTGTCTGGAACATAAAAGGGACGAAGAAGACAAAGTGAAGTGACGTACTTCCGGTTCAATGTGAAAACATTCCCAGTTAAACAACAGAAACAAATCGCAAAATAAAAAGATAAAACACTTGCATGTAATTTACGTTAGAATAAATAGAATGGTTTTGAATAATACAGCTCCGCCTACTTTTGGGGAAACCAACGCTGTCATTTGAACGGCGATCAAGCCTGAAGCCACAGAGCTCTTCTGTTACTGTCCTTTCTTCTTATGCCCCTTTCACACTGGCGCTTTTTCAGCTCCGGCTCGGAGCTGGAGCCTGAAAAGTACCGTTTTTTCCTGTTCACACCGCAGCGGCGCCGCCTCATAGCTCCGGACTGCGGTTCACTTCCAGCTCCAAAAAATTGTCGGTCTAGAGGCAAGAGCTTCGGAGCTAGAGGCGGCGTCGCTTACGTCTCTCTTACGTCGAGGCGTGCAGGAAACTAAACCCACCTCCCCTGAACATGCCATGGGTCGACTGAAGAGTCTCGTCATGCCTGCCTACAAGCAGTAGCACTGAACAAAGTGACTAGAAGGCAACCACACACTTATAAAAAAAAACACACTTTATAAAGTCAGGCAACACTAACCAGGCTTCGTGTGATTCTGTTTATTTGTACCTTACTTTGACCATCCGTTTGCTGTTATTGATCATTGTGGAGAGCAGGCAGACGTTTTGTTTTTTATTATAGCAGCTATCGTATGGAATCAATACATGGGCTGCACAGGTTGTCATGTCCGACTATCACAAGTAGAATCATAATGAAAAATACGCCGGTAAAATGTGCCTGTAGAAAACGGCTTAGCAAGTAGTCAGTTTAGCTTCGGTTGCTATGCTAACATCACCCATGTTATACCAGAGAAACTTTCATAACAGCGTTGTGATGCCAAACAGCGTCAATTCAGACTGACACACATTCACTTAAGGGGAACTGGGGATATGTATCAGCTGCTTGTGTGACAGTCAGACAGTGAATACTTTACAGCCGTGTGAGCTAACCCGGAGCTAACGGGAGAATAAACTCCCGTGGAAGAGCAGCCAGCACTGCAGCGGTCGGTAAATGCTGCTGAAACACATTAATAAACAATGAACCACGGCACTCTGGAGAAAAGTATAAGGTTAGAGAAGTCGTTATTTAATTTAATCTGGCTTCGTATGATTAAAAGCAACACGATCATCGACCCGACGCAGTCCCCCGTTGTTGTTGTTGTGAGCTCCGTTGGGGAGAAAATCAGCGATGTAAACGGTGACGTCATGACGCAGCAGCGGCAGCTCTGGGCGGTGTGAACAGAGCGGGAGCAGAAAAGGGAAACCGGAGCTGAACCAGAAAAGCTCTAGCTAGGAGCTAGAAAGGGAAACGCGCTGGTGTGAAAGCCGCATTAGAGGAAGTTTGAGGTGTTTGAGGTGCAATAAACGACACAGCAGCTTTATGGCATGTTAAAACTATTATTTTCTGCCTCGCAGCTGGCGAAATTACAGCCTCGCCTACTGATTTTAATTTAACCATAGGATATCGAGCCCGATCGTCGATTTCAAATGTGTGCTCTAAAATGATATTTATAAATGACTATTATCATTATTATAAGCAAGACAATAAATGGCAAAGATATGTAGAAAATAAACTTATTTAAGATACGTTCATAACAAACGTAACGTGGGAGAAAATATGTTTCTAGAAGATATGTAGAAAATAAACGTATTTAAGATACGTTCATAACAAACGTAACGTGGGAGAAAATATGTTTCTAGAAGATATGTAGAAAATAAACGTATTTGAGATACGTTCATAACAAACGTAACGTGGGAGAAAATACGTTTCTAGCTAAACGTAATTGAGAATGCAGTTTAGTTCTGTGGGAACGTAATTTTTAGGAGACAGGGTTGCACAATACCTGAAAGACAATCTCATAATTTTGAAGCTGCCCATTTTAATGCACTATGAGGAAAAAACTGCATTTTTGCAATAAATCAATCATTGTAAGGCAATTTATATGCGTTAGTGTGACCGGTGATTGCGACACTGGGTCCGATGCATCAATTCATGGTGCATGGACCAAGGGAGGTATTGGGTTACCACCGGGTCAGATGGTCCCACCTCCGCACCAACGCGGGGCTGGTGATGGCAACATTGGGTCCGATGCATCAATTCATGGTGCACAGACCAAGGGAGGGCTTGGGTTACCACCGGGTTGGATGGTCCCACCTCCGCACCAACGCGGGGCTGGTGATGGCAACATTGGGTCCGATGCATCAATGCATGGTGCCCCGACCATGAGAGGGTTTGGGGTGCCCCGGAACCAGGCACCACCCCAGCAGGAAACGGGTTGTATGGTCAAAGGAGGAAAGAGTGATAGAACCGGGGTAAAGCAAAGAAAGTGTCCGACAATAGTGACTTGTGAGGCGGCCAGAGAGTCTGTCATATCTCGGTCCTATCCTCCAGGCAACGCTGTGGCCAAAACTGGGTGAAAATGGGCTAAAAACAAAATATATTTCATCCAGGGAAATTTGGGTGAAAATGAAAAAAAGTACCCAGGAATAGTGCCTCATGACCCCGCAAAAGCGTCCTCCAGGCAATGCGGTGGCCAGAACTGGGTGAAAATGGGCTAAAAACCAAAAAATATATATATATTTCATCCAGGGAAATTTGGGTGAAAATGAAAAAAAGTACCCGGAAATAGTGCCTCATGACCCCGCGGGAGTCCCCTTTCGACTCCCCTGGCATTCCTCCATGGGCAAAATAATCAGAGTCAACTTTTGTGAGAACCAGGAAAAGGGGTCAAAATTAGAAAATTGTGTCCCAATATAGTGCATCATGACCCCGCAGGAGTCCCCTGTCGACTCCCCTGGCATTCCTCCATGGGCAAAATAATCAGAGTCAACTTTTGTGAGAACCAGGAAAAGGGGTCAAAATGAGAAAATTGTGTCCCAATATAGTGCATCATGACCCCGCAAGAGAGTCTGTCATCTCTCGGTCATATCCTCCAGGGTCACATAGAAGGGTACGAGCCATCTCCAGTCCGTGTTTAAATTGAGAAAACTATCCCAAAATAGTGCATCATAATGCAGACAAAGTCCCCTGCAAACTGCCCTTGCATTCATCCAGAGTCAAACTTAAAGTATTTTGAGAACCAGGCTAGGGGGTCTTGAGGCATCAAATTCATCCGAGCCAAAGTGCACTTTCATCGGATACATTCTTCCAAGATTAGAAACAGCCGTTTTTTTTCTGAGTGCACCCAAAAACTGGGTTTCTGATTTCGTGCAGACGGTAGTTTAAAAAGTTTGAACGAATTTTTTTAACAGGGAAGGGGAAAAGGTCCCGGGGCTTCATTTCCCCTTCTCCGTTGTTCAGTCCACACCTCTGGTTCATGGTGTGTCACTTAGGGACTTCACGAGATAAAATAAAGGCTAAAGCTGTATAAGGAACTTTCCAGAACATTTAAAGGTCATGTGACACCTGTGTCACGGTGGGTCCTTATATTACTGTGGAGTGGATAGGAAGGGTCCTAATGGATATATAAAGGTGCATTTTAAAGTTACAGATGGTAAGTTGATGCTCTTTAGTTTAAAATAATATCAATCCTTGATAAAAAGTAATAACTGTTCAAATAGTTGCTAAATGAATGTACTATGTGTCTATCATTTTCAGCTGCGTCTTACGGTCCCAAGAAAACTCCAGAAACAGTGGACACATTTACAACTCTGTCATCAGCAGTGTCAAACAGCTCCACTCTGTCTTCAAACAATAAACATAATATCACTGATGTGTCAGCATCAAACACGACCCTGAATACTCCGACACCTTCTGCACAAGCAACACAAGCAGCCGGTAAGAAGTGCACCTGTGTAAAATTGATAAAATTGTAATACTGAGTATATACATAATATTTTCAATGCTATTGTTGAATGATGCTCAAGCTGTTCAGAAACCCATCCATTTAAAGTCTCTCTTTTCTAACTTGGTGCTTGCCCTTAAGTCTTGATGCCTTATCAGTTAAATGTGATGTTATAGTATTATTCATGTACATGGACCATAGTGATTTTGAGGAGTGAACTGCATTTGATCAATCTCCCTCCTTTCCTCTCTTTGGCAGGAAGTGTACCATATTTGATTGCTGGTCTTATTTTTACATTCGCCTTAGTGATGGCCGTGCTGCTGCTTACCAGGAAGCTGATGAAGAGAGGACAGAGTAAGACACATACACCGACTGTCTTCAATGCTGGTTCATAGTATAAGAACAATAATATTTTGACCTCTAAATAGCGGACATTATACATTAAATATAACAACATAGGATGCACTGCAGTAAGTGTAAGTACGTATCCAGGAAAGCCACTGTTCTGTAAACACAGAATTACTTAACATCAAATGATCATTATTTTGGTCAGTTTTATAAACAAATGTATTTTTCCCAGGAGGCCTTGATGTCAGCTCCCCACACAAGAATGACTGTGGCTGCGAGGGAGTGCGGTCGTCTTTCAACCAGAAGGTTGTGGGTTCGATCCCAGCCCATGCAGTCAACATGTCGATGTATCCTTGGGCAAGATACTTAACCCTGAGTTGCTCCCGATGGCCAATGGTGTGTGAATGTGTGTGAATCTTAGGTCCTAGAGCAGGGCTTCTCAAACTCCGGACCAATGTCCGGATCCGGACCGTACTGCAAATCAATCCGGACCAAACCCTGTGTCCCATTATAAAAAAAAAAAATTATAAAAAAAAATAAAATAAAAAAAAATTCTGATTCTGATCAATTTGTGTACGCGCGTCTTGTGTCTGACGCGTGTCTGATTGTGAGAATGAACGTGCATATATATTTACTTGTGTGCGCGAGCGTGACACGCATTGCAGACCGCAAGTTAACCGCAAGTTTACCTTGACTTTCTAATGCTTCTAATGCCTTTTTTGCCGAGGTTCAAGGCATTGGCTACAGACAAACAGTGCCATTTCTCCCACTAGTTCAAGCCATCATACTGTATGATGGCTTGAACTAGTGGGAGAAATGTATTGAATGTGTGTGTGTATATTACAGGGGCGCCGTTTGCCGACAGGCAAGGCAGGCAAGTGCTTGGACCAGAAGGGGGCCCCAAAGAAAGTAGATTAAGAAGGTCCACAGCAACGACAACATGAAACACCCTTTAATTTACTGCAACGACATGTCGGGAAACCCTGACAAAATACTGGCATTGATCCAGACCATTGACCTTGTATAAAGTTCACAAGTGGACCTTTAATAAAAAAGTTTGAGTACCCCTGTCCTAGAGTAAGGTACACTGCTCTGTATGAATGGGTGTGAATGGGTGAACGACATGTAGTATGTTAAGCGCTTTGAGGGGCCTTAAAGACTGGATAAAGCGCTATATAAGTACAGTCCATTTACCATTTACACGAGGACATAAACAATGTGAGTTCTTGCCATTTTGAATCATTAAATATGTTCATGGCTGTTTCTGTTGGATCTTCCACACATGCTTAAATACTTCCTCAGCTGTTTTTTTTTTTTTTTTTTTATCCTGTTAAGAACTTCTTGATCTCTGGATCAAGTAACACAAAAAAATCCCAAATAATAACGTAAATATAAAATATTCTATTTTGTTTTATTGAATTTGCTTACTTGGCTACAACAGGAGACATCGATAAATATTTGTGAACACACTCCAAATACTACAACAAATATGATTGATTTCAACTAACCTCGTACAGTTGTGTGAAATCTGTTGAAATAATACATTTTAATAAAGTCAACATTATAGTTTTTCAGTGTATATCTCTATACCAAATGTCATGGAAATCCATCCAATAGTTGATCAGATAAAAATTATAATTGTATTCTGGCTAAAAGAAACATGGTTTCACAATACAAAGATAGTTACATTTTAAAGTCTGAGCAGAAACATTGACTTTTTAAAATAATTGTGTAGTACTTGTATTCATGATACCTAGAATTTGCAGAGAGGAAAAACAAAACATGTGTTCCCGTTGACACTTGAGCTAGTTGTTGCATCTGCTTTATGAAGTATCATAACCATATCATGCTTTTGGTCATTACGTTACTTCTCAGTTCCACTTTGCTTAGAAGCTACTCACCTTACTTCTATTTAAAGTCTTTTTGCAAATACAAGTTGGAGTTAGCTCTCTGAAGTTGTGTTGCAGCAATGCACTGTTTTCCAGTTTCATTTATATCTGGAAGAAACACATTTTCTTTTACTCTGTTTAACATGGTTAACATCGATCAACACAAGTCATACATGTCATGTTCCCACAGAGTGCACGGCCTGATGAAGTCTACCAATCCCTCCGCCCGTTGACAATGGATGAAGACCAAGTCTACAGCTCTCTCACAGAGGGGTCTGCTCTCCACACAACTTTAGACAATCACTGCAGCAGAAAATAATGATTGCATCTTTATTATATGTGAGATAAATACAAATAAACATTTCACCTATGTCCTGAAGCTATTTATCTTATTGAATTGGGATTATTTTAACAAAGAGACTTGACGTCAAGAGAATAATTCAGTTTGCATTGTCTGTGAATTATATTAGTTTTTTCTTGTATATCGTTGTTTGCTTATCCTATAAAATACAGCAGATGGTATGTTCACGCAGAGTGAGATGTGTATCCATCACATTACTCCACAGCGCTGTTTAGACTCCCTAAAATGCTGCTCTGAAGTCAGTTGTGGTGGACACAAGCAATGGCTCATACATTTAGATTTGTTTAAGCAACACACCTTTATGGTTATTTGTTATGCACTTGCATTGCAAAGCTATGCTATTTGGTCAAACATGATTCAAACCTGTCACATTAAGGGGGCTCAGCCCATAGTGAGGGGCCCCCTCAAAGTACATTTTAGAAATGAAGAAATGATATCTTGTTGTGTTTCTGGTTAAAGTTAGGCATGGGGTATGGGATTTGTTTTCTCAAGTTGTCAGATTCATTTTAAATCACTTATTTATTTGTACAAAACCTTTTTTCTTTTTTAACTTTATAACAAAGAGATGGTGTTAGACACTGAAGCGTGTGTGTGAGTTCATCTGGACATGTTGACAGGCTTCCGAGTCTAGATCACACCGTGGTTTTGAAGTGACAGATCCCGCCCTCCACTCCCAATCTTTAGTACTTTCTGCACTTGCTGTTCCATCTGTTCAAATTCTAAATGAAGAATAGTTTCCTGTGTTATACTTCCTTATACACCAACACAGTCTTACACTGTGTGTGTGTGTGTGTGTGTGTGTGTGTGTGTGTGTGTGTGTGTGTGTGTATGTGTGTGTGTGTGTGTGTGTGTGTGTGTGTGTTCAGAGGAAAGGGTGGAGCTTTACGGTTTAGAGGAAGGGAAATGCTTTGAAATACTCTACGGACCGTGGTCGCACTGACCTGATTATCAACGTGCCTTTATGTTCTTCATCATCATTTTCACCATGATAGAAATCTACGTGTACTCTTGTCTTCTTTCTGGTGAGTTCATTTTTTATTTGTATGCTTTATGCTTTTTTGTTTATTCGCTAAATAAATAATTTAGTAGTTCTCTTTAAAAAAGTTAAATGTTGTCGATACAAATAGTACATTCAATCAATGTGATAAATAATGTAGACATTTTTCTTCATTTGAGCATTGACACTTAAATACCAATAATACAAAATGTTTAATAATGTTTCCTTTATTTCCACTTGTAGCTCTGAGTTTTGTGGAGATGAAGCCTCTCAACATAAGAGGCTGTGTTGGGGAAATAGTGACATGCAAATGCTCAGAGTGGAACACTTTGTTTGGTGTAAGATATAATGATAAGTACTTTTGTAGAAGTCCATGCACCGAAGACAAACACATCATCATCAAAGCAGCATCTGGAAAGACTACACAACAAAACAGAATACGGATAAATAACAGAGGAAATGATTTATTTGTGACCTTCACTAATCTGAAAAAGTCTGATACTAACACATATTACTGTGGAGTGGAGAGGAAGGGTCCTGATATATTGATAAAGGTGAATCTTAATGTTACAGATGGTAAGTTGATGCTCTTTAGTTTAAAATGAAATCAATCCTTGATAAAAAGTAATAACTGTTCAAATAGTTGCTAAATTAATGTACTATGTGTCTATCATTTTCAGCTGCGTCTTACGGTCCCAAGAAAACTCCAGAAACAGTGGACACATTTACAACTCTGTCATCAGCTGTGTCAAACAGCTCCACTCTGTCTTCAAACAATAAACATAATATCACTGATGTTTCTGCATCGAACACGACCACTACGACAACTACTACACCAGCAACACAAGCAGCTGGTAAGAAGTGCACTTGTGTACATTTGATAAAATTGTAATGCTGAGTATATACATAATATTTTCAATGCTATATTGTTGAATGATGCTCAAGCTGTTCAGAAACCCATCCATTTAAAGTCTCTCTTTTCTAACTTGGTGCTTGCCCTTAAGTCTTGATACCTTATCAGTTAAATGTGATGTTATAGTATTCTTCATGTACATGGACCATAGTGATTGTGAGGAGTGAACTGCATTTGATCAATCTCCCTCCTTTCCTCTCTTTGGCAGGAAGTGTACCATATTTGATTGCTGGTCTTATTTTTACATTCGCCTTAGTGATGGTCGTGCTGCTGCTTACCAGGAAGCTGATGAAGAGAGGACAGAGTAAGACACACACACCGACTGTCTTCAATGCTGGTTCATAGTATAAGAACAATAATATTTTGACCTCTAAATAGCGGACAATATACATTAAATATAACAACATAGGATGCACTGCAGTAAGTGTAAGTACGTATCCAGGAAAGCCACTGTTCTGTAAACACACAATTACTTAACATCAAATTATCATTATTTTGGTCAGTTTTATAAACAAATGTATTTTTCCCAGGAGGCCTTGATGTCAGCTCCCCACACGAGGACATATACGATGTGAGTTCTTGCCATTTTGAATCATTAAATATGTTCATGGCTGTTTCTGTTGGATCTTCCACACATGCTTAAATACTTCCTCAGCTGTTTGTTTTTTTATCCTGTAAGAACTTCTTGATCTCTGGATCAAGTAACACAAAAAAATCCCAAATAATAACGTAAATATAAAATATTCTCTTTTGTTTTAATGAATTTGCCTACTTGGCTCCAACAGGAAACATCGATAAATATTTGTGAACACACTGCAAATACTACAACAAATATGATTGATTTCAACTAATCTCGTACAGTTGTGTGAAATATGTTGAAATAATACATTTTAATAAAGTCAACATTATAGTTTTTCAGTGTATATCTCTATACCAAATGTCGTGGAAATCCGTCCAGTTGATCAGATACAAATTATAATTGTATTCTGGCTAAAAGAAACATGGTTTCACAATACAAAGATAGTTACATTTTAAAGTCTGAGCAGAAACATTGACTTTTTAAAATAATTTTGTAGTACTTGTATTCATGATAACCATATCATGCTTTTGGTCATTACGTTACTTCTCATTTCCACTTTGCAGAAGCTACTAACCTTACTTCTATTTAAAGTCTTTTTGCAAATACAAGTTGGAGTTAGCTCTCTGAAGATGTGTTGCAGCAATGCACTGTTTTCCAGTTTCATTTATATCTGGAAGAAACACATTTTCTTTTACTCTGTTTAACATGGTTAACATCTATCAACACAAGTCATACATGTTATGTTCCCACAGAGTGCACGGCCTGATGAAGTCTACCAATCCCTCCGCCCGTTGACAATGGATGAAGTCCAAGTCTACAGCTCTCTCACAGAGGGGTCTGCTCTCCACACAACTTTAGACGATCACTGCAGCAGAAAATAATGATTGAATCTTTATTATATGTGAGATAAATACAAATAAACATTTCACCTCTGTCCTGAAGCTATTTGTCTTATTGACTTGGAGTTATTTTTACAAAGAGACTTGACATCATGAGAATAATTCAGTTTGCATTGTCTGTGAAATGAAGCTCAGCGTAAGTTCAACCAGGAAGACCGTCTATTCACTATTCCTACGTAACTACTCTCTCTCCTCTCAATAAGTGATCGGGGGCGTCACTCTCCAGCTTAACCAATCACTTCGCTCTATTCCCAAGAGCCTATCATAGCGCTCTGCCAAACCTTTTAAATCTGCTCTCCCCCCTCTGACAGCTGTCATTTCAGGTGACTCTACGCAACCCTCCTCCCCCCCTTTTCACCTCCTGTCCCTCTGAGGCTGGTGCCCCACGAGGACGCATACGGAAAAACGCATACAGAAACGCAATCGCAATCGCAAAAAAAGCTTCCGTCCACACGCAATAGACACCGGATAGTGTCTGTTCACACGAGACAGCTCCGTTTAGTTTCAACCGCTGGAAAAGCTGCAGTACATATGCCGAGCCTGTACGTGGCGCTGTAACTTCCTCCACAAAAGCAGCGAAGAAGAATGGTCGTCATGGCTGCCCTTCTGTTTATTCACCGTGGTGGGGGCCGAGGGAACCGGGCAGAGTCTTTCGCCGGTCAACGTGTGTTAAAGTTTAAATCTTCCGGACAAAATTATAAAAGTGCCGGTCAAAGGTCTTCTTTGTTATTTATTGAGCTTTAAAACAAATGAATAACGACTCTATATAATGATATATAATAATAAAATACACGGAGCCTGTCTCTTTTTCCTCTCTTCTCACAGCGTCAGTGTCTGTCTCATGCAGCAGCTGATCCAGTAATGAGTGACCCGACAGTAAAAATAAACATATTTATAACTAGTTTAGGTAGTTTGAGAGGTAATTAAAATAGCTAAGGGTGATGATCTGACTTGAAGTGTGTGTTTTGCTCCCGCTGCATCACAGCGGGAGGAGCTGCGTGTCTCCGTCCTGTCAGATTAGACTTCACTCGCGTTTATGTCCATATCGAGAGAAAGATAAATAATCTGAATTCAGTGTGCAGTGTACTTTTGCGGGGGTGAGCAGCAGAGGTGGGGAGAGGCAGGGCTATTGCGTCATCATTATCACAAAATGATGGTATAGAGGCGATCACACGGAGCCATATGACCCCCCAGAGCGCTCCGTTCCCAGATCTATCCACCTTTGGACCCGTTGTCGTTTGCGGGGTCCGTTTCTATCGTTTAGTTACGGCCTTGTGTGGCAAAAAGGGCTATACGCAAGAGAAATAAGCGGATACAACCCGTTTTCGTCCTCGTGGGGCACCAGCCTGAATCCAGGGTCAAGCTAAACCACTCCTCTTCAGACCGAACCCAACCATCTATTCACCACCACCAGTGTCTAGACCCCAGGGGGGTTTCATCGGATCGGTTCTCCCCTCCCGAATGATACTTCCTGCACAACGGGGCCTAATCGCCAAAATCACCATTACATTCATTTGTGTATCTTTGCAATACATATGTATTCTTACATCAAAACCGTCTCTCCTGATTGAATTATATTAGTTTTTTCTTGTATATCATTGTTTGCTTATCCTCTAAAATACAGCAGATGGTATCACATTACTCCACAGAGCTGTTTAGACTCCCTAAAATGCTGCTCTGAAGTCAGTTGTGGTGGACACAAGCAATGGCTCATATATTTAGATTTGTTTAAGCAACACACCTTTATGGTTATTTGTTATGCACTTGCATTGCAAAGCTATGCTATTTGGTCAAACGTGATTTAAACCTGTCACATTAAGGGGGCTCAGCCCATAGTGAGGGGCCCCCTCAAAGTACATTATAGAAATTAAGAAACGATATCTTGTTGTGTTTCTGGTTAAAGTTAGGCATGGGGTATGGGATTGGTTTTCTCAAGTTGTTAGATTAATTTTAAATCACTTATTTATTTGTACGAAACCTTTTTTCTTTTTTAACTTTATAACAAAGAGATGGTGTTAGATAGATAGATAGATAGATCGTGTGACACACTGAAGCGTGTGTGTGAGTTCATCTGGACATGTTGACAGGCTTCAGAGTCTAGATGACACTGTGGTTTTGAAGTGACAGATCCCGCCCTCCACCCCCAATCTTTAGTACTTTCTGCACTTGCTGTTCCATCTGTTCAAATTCTAAATGAAGAATAGTTTCCTGTGTTATACTTCCTTATACACCAACACAGTCTTACACTGTGTGTGTGTGTGTGTGTGTGTGTGTGTGTGTGTGTGTGTGTGTGTGTGTGTGTGTGTGTGTGTGTGTGTGTGTGTGTGTGTGTGTGTGTGTGTGTTGAGAGGAAAGGGTGGAGCTTTAAGGTTTAGAGGAAGGGAAATGCTTTGAAATACTCTATGGACCGTGGTCGCACTGACCTGATTATCAACGTGCCTTATGTTCTTCATCATCATTTTCACCATGATAGAAATCTACGTGTACTCTTGTCTTCTTTCTGGTGAGTTTACATTTTATTATTCTCTGCTGTTTGATTTTTTGTTTATTTGCTAAATACATAATTGAGTAGTTCTCTTTAAAAAAGTTAAATGTTGTCGATACAAATAGTACATTCAATCAATGTGATAAATAATGTAGACATTTGACTTCATTTGAGCATTGACACTTAAATACCAATAATACAAAATGTTTAATAATGTTTCCTTTATTTCCACTTGTAGCTCTGAGTTTTGTGGAGATGAAGCCTCTCAACATAAGAGGCTGTGTTGGGGAAATAGTGACATTCAAATGCTCAGACTGGAACAATTTGTTTAATGTAAGATATACTGATAAGTACTTTTGTAGAAGTCCATGCACCGAAGACAAACACATCATCATCAAAGCAGCATCTGGAAAGACTACACAACAAAACAGAATACTGATAAATAACAGAGGAAATGATTTATTTGTGACCTTCACTAATCTGAAAAAGTCTGACGCTAAGACATATTACTGTGGAGTGGAGAGGAAGGGTCCTGATATATTGATAAAGGTGAATCTTAAAGTTACAGATGGTAAGTTGATGCTCTTTAGTTTAAAATAAAATCAATCCTTGATAAAAAGTAATAACTGTTCAAATAGTTGCTAAATTAATGTACTATGTGTCTATCATTTTCAGCTGCGTCTTACGGTCCCAAGAAAACTCCAGAAACAGTGGACACATTTACAACTCTGTCATCAGCTGTGTCAAACAGCTCCACTCTGTCTTCAAACAATAAACATAATATCACTGATGTGTCAGCATCGAACACGACCCTGAATACTCCGACACCTTCTGCACAAGCAACACAAGCAGCCGGTAAGAAGTGCACCTGTGTAAAATTGATAAAATTGTAATACTGAGTATATACATAATATTTTCAATGCTATTGTTGAATGATGCTCAAGCTGTTCAGAAACCCATCCATTTAAAGTCTCTCTTTTCTAACTTGGTGCTTGCCCTTAAGTCTTGATGCCTTATCAGTTAAATGTGATGTTATAGTATTCTTCATGTACATGGACCATAGTGATTGTGAGGAGTGAACTGCATTTGATCAATCTCCCTCCTTTCCTCTCTTTGGCAGGAAGTGTACCATATTTGATTGCTGGTCTTATTTTTACATTCGCCTTAGTGATGGCCGTGCTGCTGCTTACCAGGAAGCTGATGAAGAGAGGACAGAGTAAGACACACACACCGACTGTCTTCAATGCTGGTTCATAGTATAAGAACAATAATATTTTGACCTCTAAATAGCGGACAATATACATTAAATATAACAACATAGGATGCACTGCAGTAAGTGTAAGTACGTATCCAGGAAAGCCACTGTTCTGTAAACACAGAATTACTTAACATCAAATGATCATTATTTTGGTCAGTTTTATAAACAAATGTATTTTTCCCAGGAGGCCTTGATGTCAGCTCCCCACACGAGGACATATACGATGTGAGTTCTTGCCATTTTGAATCATTAAATATGTTCATGGCTGTTTCTGTTGGATCTTCCACACATGCTTAAATACTTCCTCAGCTGTTTGTTTTTTTATCCTGTTAAGAACTTCTTGATCTCTGGATCAAGTAACACAAAAAAATCCCAAATAATAACGTAAATATAAAATATTCTATTTTGTTTTAATGAATTTGCCTACTTGGCTACAACAGGAGACATCGATAAATATTTGTGAGCACACTGCAAATACTACAAAAAATATGATTGATTTCAACTAACCTCGTCCAGTTGTGTGAAATCTGTTGAAATAATACATTTTAATAAAGTCAACATTATAGTTTTTCAGTGTATATCTCTATACCAAATGTCATGGAAATCCGTCCAGTTGATCAGATACAAATTATAATTGTATTCTGGCTAAAAGAAACATGGTTTCACAATACAAAAATAGTTACATTTTAAAGTCTGAGCAGAAACATTGACTTTTTTAAATATTTGTGTAGTACTTGTATTCATGATACCTAGAATTTGCAGAGAGGAAAATACAAAACACGTGTTCCCATTGACACTTGAGCTAGTAGTTGCATCTGCTTTATAAAGTATCATAACCATATCATGCTTTTGGTCATTACGTTACTTCTCAGTTCCACTTTGCAGAAGCTACTAACCTTACTTCTATTTAAAGTATTTTTGCAAATACAAGTTGGAGTTAGCTCTCTGAAGATGTGTTGCAGCAATGCACTGTTTTCCAGTTTCATTTATATCTGGAAGAAACACATTTTCTTTTACTCTGTTTAACATGGTTAACATCTATCAACACAAGTCATACATGTCATGTTCCCACAGAGTGCACGGCCTGATGAAGTCTACCAATCCCTCCGCCCGTTAACAATGGATGAAGACCAAGTCTACAGCTCTCTCACAGAGGGGTCTGCTCTCCACACAACTTTAGACGATCACTGCAGCAGAAAATAATGATTGAATCTTTATTATATGTGAAATAAATACAAATAAACATTTCACCTCTGTCCTGAAGCTATTTATCTTATTGAATTGGAGTTATTTTTACAAAGAGACTTGACGTCATGAGAATAATTCAGTTTGCATTGTCTGTGAAATGAAGCTCAGCGTAAGTTCAACCAGGAAGACCGTCTATTCACTATTCCTACGTAACTACTCTCTCTCCTCTCAATAAGTGATCGGGGGCGTCACTCTCCAGCTTAACCAATCACTTCGCTCTATTCCCAAGAGCCTATCATAGCGCTCTGCCAAACCTTTTAAATCTGCTCTCCCCCCTCTGACAGCTGTCATTTCAGGTGACTCTACGCAACCCTCCTCCACCCCTTTTCACCTCCTGTCCCTCTGAGGCTGGTGCCCCACGAGGACGCATACGGGAAAACGCATACACAAACGCAATCGCAATCGCAAAAAAAGCTTCCGTCCACACGCAATAGACACCGGATAGTGTCTGTTCACACGAGACAGCTCCGTTTAGTTCCAACCGCTGGAAAAGCTGCAGTACATATGCCGAGCCTGTACGTGGCGCTGTAACTTCCTCCACAAAAGCAGCGAAGAAGAATGGTCGTCATGGCTGCACTTCTGTTTATTCACCGCGGTGGGGGCCGAGGGAACCGGGCAGAGTCTTTCGCCGGTCAACGTGTGTTAAAGTTTAAATCTTCCGGACAAAATTATAAAAGTGCCGGTCAAAGGTCTTCTTTGTTATTTATTGAGCTTTAAAACAAATGAATAACGACTCTATATAATGATATATAATAATAAAATACACGGAGCCTGTCTCTTTTTCCTCCCTCTCTTCTCACAGCGTCAGTGTCTGTCTCATGCAGCAGCTGATCCAGTAATGAGTGACCCGACAGTAAAAATGAACATATTTATAACTAGTTTAGTTTGAGAGGTAATTAAAATAGCTAAGGGTGATGATCTGACTTGAAGTGTGTGTTTTGCTCCCGCTGCATCACAGCGGGAGGAGCTGCGTGTCTCCGTCTTGTCAGATTAGACTTCACTCGCGTTTATGTCCATATCGAGAGAAAGATAAATAATCTGAATTCAGTGTGCAGTGTACTTTTGCGGGGGTGAGCAGCAGAGGTGGGGGGAGGCGGGGCTATTGCGTCATCATTATCACAAAATGATGGTGTAGAGGCGATCACACGGAGCCGTTGGACCCCCCAGAGCGCTCCGTTCCCAGATCTATCCACCTTTGGACCCGTTGTCGTTTGCGGGGTCCGTTTCTATCGTTTCGTTACGGCCTTGTTTGGCAAAAAGGGCTATACGCAAGAGAAATAAGCGGATACAACCCGTTTTCGTCCTCGTGGGGCACCAGCCTGAATCCAGGGTCAAGCTAAACCACTCCTCTTCAGACCGAACCCAACCATCTATTCACCACCACCAGTGTCTAGACCCCAGGGGGGTTTCATCGGATCGGTTCTCCCCTCCCGAATGATACTTCCTGCACAACGGGGCCTAATCGCCAAAATCACCATTACATTCATTTGTGTATCTTTGCAATACATATGTATTCTTACATCAAAACCGTCTCTCCTGATTGAATTATATTAGTTTTTTCTTGTATATCATTGTTTGCTTATCCTCTAAAATACAGCAGATGGTATCACATTACTCCACAGAGCTGTTTAGACTCCCTAAAATGCTGCTCTGAAGTCAGTTGTGGTGGACACAAGCAATGGCTCATATATTTAGATTTGTTTAAGCAACACACCTTTATGGTTATTTGTTATGCACTTGCAAAGCTATGCTATTTGGTCAAACATGATTTAAACCTGTCACATTAAGGGGGCTCAGCCCATAGTGAGGGGCCCCCTCAAAGTACATTATAGAAATTAAGAAACGATATCTTGTTGTGTTTCTGGTTAAAGTTAGGCATGGGGTATGGGATTGGTTTTCTCAAGTTGTTAGATTCATTTTAAATCACTTATTTATTTGAACAAAACCTTTTTTCTTTTTTAACTTTATAACAAAGAGATGGTGTTAGACACTGAAGCGTGTGTGTGAGTTCATCTGGACATGTTGACAGGCTTCCGGGTCTAGATCACACCGTGGTTTTGAAGTGACAGATCCCGCCCTCCACCCCCAATCTTTAGTACTTTCTGCACTTGCTGTTCCATCTGTTCAAATTCTAAATGAAGAATAGTTTCCTGTGTTATACTTCCTTATACACCGACACAGTCTTACACTGTGTGTGTGTGTGTGTGTGTGTGTGTGTGTGTGTGTGTGTGTGTGTGTGTGTGTGTGTGTGTGTGTGTGTGTGTGTGTGTGTGTGTGTGTGTGTGTGTGTGTGTGTGTGTGTGTGTGTGTGTGGTGTGTGTGTGTGTGTGTGTTCAGAGGAAAGGGCGGAGCTTTAAGGTGTAGAGGAAGGGAAATGCTTTGAAATACTCTACGGACCGTGGTCGCACTGACCTGATTATCAACGTGCCTTATGTTCTTCATCATCATTTTCACCATGATAGAAATCTACGTGTACTCTTGTCTTCTTTCTGGTGAGTTTACATTTCATTATTCTCTGCTGTTTGATTTTTTGTTTATTTGCTAAATACATAATTGAGTAGTTCTCTTTAAAAAAGTTAAATGTTGTCGATACAAATAGTACATTCAATCAATGTGATAAATAATGTAGACATTTGACTTCATTTGAGCATTGACACTTAAATACCAATAATACAAAATGTTTAATAATGTTTCCTTTATTTCCACTTGTAGCTCTGAGTTTTGTGGAGATGAAGCCTCTCAACGTAAGAGGCTGTGTTGGGGAAATAGTGACATTCAAATGCTCAGACTGGAACAATTTGTTTGATGTAAGATATAATGATAAGTACTTTTGTAGAAGTCCATGCACCGAAGACAAACACATCATCATCAAAGCAGCACCCGGAAAAACTACACAACAAAACAGAATACTGATAAATAACAAAGGAGATTATTTATTTGTGACCTTCACTAATCTGAAAAAGTCTGACGCTAAGACATATTACTGTGGAGTGGAGAGGAAGGGTCCTGATATATTGATAAAGGTGAATCTTAAAGTTACAGATGGTAAGTTGATGCTCTTTAGTTTAAAATAAAATCAATCCTTGATAAAAAGTAATAACTGTTCAAATAGTTGCTAAATGAAGGTACTATATGTGTCTATCATTTTCAGCTGCGTCTTACGGTCCCAAGAAAACTCCAGAAACAGTGGACACATTTACAACTCTGTCATCAGCTGTGTCAAGCAGCTCCACTCTGTCTTCAAACAGCTCAGATAATATCACTGATGTGTCTGCATCGTACACGACCACTACGACAACTACTACACCAGCAACACAAGCAGCCGGTAATAAAATGCACTTATTTGAACTTACACAAATACATATACCTATTACTTGTATATGGAGATTTTAATGTTATTAATTGAAATTGCAATTTTTATTTAAAATAATCGGTCCAGTACATCAAGGTGGTGAATATTACATAATGAAAATAACGCTTAATTAACGTTTAATGAGTGAAAATATACATATTTGTCCTATTAATTTCCTCTCTGCTTTCCAAATGTGAAAGAATAATATAATGGTAGACCCAATATCTTGATACGATAATAAAACAATGTTATGTAATATATATAAAGATCAGTATGACCAAGTGTGATCAAGCTTCTCTCATGTATCTTCCTCTTTTTCTCTGTTTGTTCAGGGAGCATACCATATTTGATCATAGGTGTCATTCTCATAATAACCATACTGATGGTGTTACTGAAGTTTATGAGCAAGAAGATGATGAAACAACGGAGTAAGACCCACAAACCAACACACATTGTGTATATGTGAATGCACCAGTAAAGCTTCCACAAGACATATTAACAAATGTTATCCTATGTGTTTGCAGAAGTTGTTTCAACAGCTGTAATGCCACAGGGAGACGCACGAGAGGTGAGAGTTGGAGGGCAGATGGTTTCAGTTTCCTTTCCCACAGAAACAGCTTGCTTGAAGTACATTACATTACATTCCCCTGTGTGAGGCTCAGGCTTTTCTGTTTCACCTTTGGCATTCATTTCATATTTCTTACTTTAATGCCGTGTAGGACACCTTTTTCGTTTCTGAGCTCAGCATTAATAACAAAAAGAACACCTAGAACAGGTCTTTTAATTAAAAGACAAGGATCCTTGGTACAAAACAACACTTCCCTTTTCTTTCCCTACTGTAGGGAAAGTGTAGTAATACAGAAGATGCTGGTGGACAAAATATGTTCTGTGAGGTTCTCTTTATGCACCTTTTGAGGCAAGTGTAGGAGTTTAAACCAGACAAGCCGTTTTAAACTGTGAGGTCTGACACTCAAAGCCCACATCCGTTCAACCCCAGCTGACTTTAGCCACCACTTCATTCAAGTCAGACAGGAAATCAGGCTGCATCATTATGTGGCTGAAAGCACCTGTATCCAAAATTAAATGACTGGAGATCTATCAAAAGAACTGCCCTAAATAAAAATTGAACGACTTCAGGAAAAGTAGAAAATGAATATAGAAAATAAGTTGAATGCGTATTGTTACATTCGTATGTCCTTCCTAATATTATTACAACACTATTTATATTATTTTACGTATCATTGGCTGTTGTTAGGATTATACTGGTATAATCAATATTCTCTTGTCACAAACAATCAGCAGTCTGAGGAAATCATTTTATGGAATGTACTTGATCAGCATTCTGTATATAACATTCAAACATACAAAGTAAGGTGAAAATAATTAGTTGACTTGCTCTGTTTTAAGCATGCAACACTGTTTATGATTTGGTCATCACAGCACAAATGTAACACAAAATATCCTGTGAAACGATATGTCATTTCAAGACATTTTTGTGTAGCCAACATTGTAAATTGCCATTACAACATACAATAATGGGGTTCATTGCCATAGTGTAGTTAGTGTTGCTTTGCTTTCCTTGATTGTTTCTGGATTTCAGGAATTACCCCCTTAAGAGATCAGACTTGTACTGGGTATTTGTTATGTGAACAACCAATTTTGTGGTGTTAAGAATGTTGTAAAATCAGATTTACTGACTTCAGATCTCTGTTTTACTGTTTTTTTTCTCCCTGTTTCTAATTCAAGGAAGCTGAATATGATGAAATCAGACATGAAGAAGCGACTGACCCGGACAGCATCTATGCTAATAATTCCTTCCTCCAAGATATCGGATCAGCAGCTGCTAGGTGTGAGACGAATTCAATGGGGGCGTGTGCAGAGAGCAGAGACAACGTGCTGTATTCTGTTGCTCAACTACCCAAATACCAAATTAAACCCACTGGGCAATCACAGCGAAATCAATCTGAAAGTGCCGAAAATGACTCTTTCTACGACCTGGTTCAACTACCCCAGGCACCCTGAAGGAGGCCACTGTGGTAAATGCATAAAAAGGAACTTTTATGATTAAACATTTGATTAGTTTTGAATAAAACAGTAGACACATAATGTAATACAGGACATATATAAGGCAGGATAGAAGAGTAAATGAACAAGTTAGTATCTGTACACATGGTCCAGCCTTACTTAAAAAAAAACGTGTATAAACACACAATAAGTATGATTGTCATTGTCTTTTTCAGACTCCATTACTTAATGAAATTGGAATCATGTTAGTCACAGGCACCCAGAAAACAGTGTTCAAAGAATCAGTGAAATGTTGTCTATCTCAGGGAACAATCTGAAATCTGAAATCTGCCTCTGTGATACATACTCTGTCCAACTGTCTACTTCCTTTTTTTAAATGTTCCCTAGGTCTCTTTTGGTTGCACATGCACACACACACACACACACATACACGCACGCACGCACGCACGCACGCACGCACGCACGCACGCACGCACGCACGCACACACACACACACACACACACACACACACACACACACACACACACACACACACACACACACACACACACACACACACACACAGGAACGCATGGCAGTGCGTAATGCTATAGAATCAACAGGAAAATTGAGACATCTAGAAAGAGTTGTGGTGTATCTGCCTCTGCTACCATCATGGATGCCGTTCAACCGCAGAGCTCCTATGAGAGGAATGGTTAGACTTGTTTGTATTAGAGATGCAATGCTTAAACTCTGCAGATTAGTGCAAGGACTCTGCTATTTTATTTTATTGCTTCTAACGGCCAACAGAGGGCGCTGCATCACTTGTTCTCAATACAATGTTCCAGAGTCTGTTTCATCAAGTATTCTGACTTTGTTTATTTGCCCAGCTGATGGATCATTTGATCTATCTGTATTTCTCTCCATAAACAATGTCATGTTTTACTCTGTAAACTCTGTGCTGCCACACATTGTTGTTTTGTCTTTTTCTTGAGAACATCAGTGCTTTAATCAAGGCAGGAGAAACAATCTTATTCATGGTGCGACCATTTTTATGTAAATAAGATAGAAAGAGATCAGGCCTCAATATTCAGTCATTAGACCTTTCTGATTTCTAATTTCCCCTCCTCGACTCCTCTCCTCGACTCCTATCCTCTACTCCCCTCCTCGACTCCTATCCTCGTGTCTTAGTCCCGCCCACAGGAGATGCGAGCAGAGGAGTCGAGGAGGGGAACCGAGGAGAGAGGAGGGGAAGCAGCAGGCGTTTAGAGAAATGAGAACTCCTCTCCTCTGAGCGGTCATTTTAAAGAGACGTCCATTAATGATGACAGGAGGCACAGCAGCCCTCTGTCTGATGGACAGATGTGTTCATGACAACTTATATATTTACTTTTAATTCATTGACAGTGCGGTATAATGAGACAATAACAGGAATAATGTCTTGTTACATAAGAATAGATCATATTTGTTAAGTGTTATTATGGTAGAATTACTATTCTTGTGGTACTGCTGCCTTATTATGCCCATATTGAGCAGAGCATATTCAGACCAAAACTACAACTTCCTTACTTGCAATAAATAAGCACTAATTAGAGGGTTATTGAGGAAAAACTCTCAACTGATGGCCTATTACTTGAGGAATATGGTCATGTAGAATAAGGCATTAATAAGTGTTTTATAATGACTAATAAAGAGCCAATATAAGCACACAATGTATACAATGTCTAGTTTTTCATTACTGCACATATTTTTTATTACAACTCTATTTCTGCGATTTCAACCATATTCAATGTAAATACTGCAATAGCAGTTTTACATATAAAATGTATGTATTTTAGTATTTAAAAAACAAAAATGTATGTTATTATAGTTTTCTTAAAATTGTTTTCTATCTGTGTTTTAGTTTTATGTTTATGTATGCAACACAACACCAAGTCAAATTCTTCGTAAGTGTTAACCTACCTGCAACCTGTTTCTGATTCTGATAAACTGCATAGACTATCTATCTATCTATCTATCTATCTATCTATCTATCTATCTATCTATCTATCTATCTATCTATCTATCTATCTATCTATCTATCTATCTATCTATCTATCTATCTCATAACATGTTGATTTGAGTATTGTATTTAAATACCTGATGACTGTTTAATCTGTTGTCAGAACATCATCAATAGTTACAGTATATCAACTGTTGGATTCTGGATTGGCCTGAGAGTATAAAACGGGAAATGGAAGTGGGAAGATGGAAGTGATCTGACTAAGACACACATTACTAAACACTTAAAATCATAAAAATCGTTTAGCCTTTATCTAAACGTCCTGTTTTTTCCACAGCTCCTGGATAGACCCACCTACTGAGGGTCACTGTGCAATGTCTGTCTGGCGCAGCAGCAGAACACCATGGTTATCAGTGAGCTGTGATCAGAAACAACAATGGATCTGCCAAAAGAAAGCTCTATCTGTTTAAACACTGCTGTCATACTATATGCTTTTATTTTACTTTTCAGAGATGCAGTAACCTAATTTATCATATCAGTATATAGTGATCATTTGATATAAAAGGACCAAAACTTGCTCAGTTTAGTTTGTCTGACATTTTTTTAAATGCTTCTTTATGTGGGTCAAGATCTTTGGACGGACCCGCCGAAGGGGCCGAAATCACAACATGTGCAAGCAAAAGTGTCTGAGGGCTTCTTAAGATGTAATAAACTATGAATGTGTTATGTCCATGTAACGGGAAGAAACTCAGCTAACTGATCTAAAACCCACAATGCTAACGCTGAGCCTCTGAATTAGCCACGGGCAACAAAATATTAAGGCACAGAACTCTAGCTATACCGATCGATATACTTATTGGATCTGCACAAACAAGCTTAGATAACATCCTGAGATTCCACAGATTATAGAAATATACTGTAAGGATCATCACTGAGCGATAAGAACTCGTGACAGGGGAAGCAAATACAGACAACACACGAGTAGCTTGAGTTAGCAAAACACAGAGATATGCTCACCTTAGCTGTTATTCTGATCAAAACTCGTGTTCAATGGCATTAAAACGAGAAAAAACGCGGCTGAAGGTTAATCCATAGGTTATAGCAATGTGTCTGTCACTTTGAAAAAATTATTGATAGTCCATAATTCCATTTTTATGCAAAAATTGGAGGACAAAAATTAGCTGCTAATGGTAGCCACCAGAGGCTAGCGCAGCTTCCGGGTTTTCTACGCGTCACTATCACTCCTTATTTGGTAAGCTGTGTGTGTATGGGAAACTTTCCCTTGATTCCATTGGCTCTGACGGTTAGAAAGAGATGTCAATCAGCAAAATCGACCAATGCAACACATTAATATCTAATAATAAAATTATAAAATGCAATAACGTGCTTTAACCAGTAGGTGTCCCTTCCTATCAGCTGTGCACCATTATGGCGTAAATACAGCCTATCTACCAATTGTATCAAATATAAAAGTCAGCCGAATTAGTGTTGATACTGCAAGGAGACGTATTGTGTGAAAAGAAATGTAAGATGTTGTTTAATTGCTTATATATTTAAGATCCACGTCAAGTTTTCAGTTTGGCGGCAGTTCCTGTTTTGTCTAGAAGTCTTGTCATCAGGGCTCTATAAATAGAGTTAACTACGGCAGATATGTCATATTTAATGCAGCCGAAACGTGTATTACAATGCCGTTATGTGATGACTTTCAAAGAGAAAAGCAAGCACACTCGGAATAATGTATTATTTAATTTTTTTTAAATGTTTTCGGATTTCACATCGCATAAACACCAAATCCCAGCGTGCATAGCGGAATATCAGTATGAGAAAAAACGGCATCATCTGTCCTTTGACCCTCACATCGTACAAGGAAAAACTTCCAGAGAAAAACCCACAGTTAATATACACACATTCCTTCACATTTCAATTTTAATTTACATTAAAGGGGACCTATCATGCAAAATGCACTTTTGTACGTCTTTTATACATGAATATGTGTCCCCGGTGTTCCAGGGAACTCACCAAGTGTCAGAAAACACAACCCTCTCTATTTTCCTCCATACCCAAATCTCTAAAAAAGGGGCTGCAACGGATCTGATAAAAACTGATCCAGATTTGAACACTGTCCTGACGTCAGGACAGTGGCGCTACGGCTATTGGGCCAACTCCACCAATCAGAAGGAGACAGCCACGGCCATTGCCGTTCGAAAGCGCTGGAGACGCTGTAGTACATATGCCAGGCCTGTAGATGGTGCTGTTCTCACAGAATCTGCCCTTGCAAAAACAGATCTAAAAAATGTCAAATTGAGCAAAATGAGGCATGGCTAAAATGCATGATCTGTTTGGTATTTTGAAAAAAAAAAGTATAAATATGCCTTATATAGGTATGGTCCTACACTATATTATTCAAATATAGCATGATAGGTCCACTTTAAAGTATTTCGTGAGGCCTTCTAACATGTTTTTAAATATAACTACGGTTGTAGTTGAAGAATTTGTAAATGAACATGAACCGAAGCTGTTGCCTGTTGCAATATACAGTCTATGGTTGCTACAGAGGATTGTGGGTAATGTAATGTCTTCGGTCATCCAAAACTCATAGAAAACTACTTGTTTCTCAGAATTGAAGGGGAAAAGGTGACAAAAGCATTGTACACACACTAAAACCTATCAATGTCGTTTAATTAACAAGGATAATCTGGTGTTTTTGAGTTAATGAGTAGTGGAGATATCACTGTCAAATCAATCGACAGTAACGGAGCGTCCACACAGCAGCGTTAAAAAAATCTTGGAGGTGGGCGTATCTGAAGCTTGGGGATTTTTTGCGAGCAACGCGACCAACAACCAATCACATGAATCTCCCGCCCCCGACATACAAAGCAAAAAAGCCCGAAGTAAACTGGATATAAACTCCCCAAACAGGCGAAAACCTACGACTGTCTCTGCCACCTCCCTCCATGCCTGGCTCCTCCGGTTTGTATCCCGGTAGGTAAATAGGGACTGGTCATAAAGCACCGGGTGATTCCCTACTGCTAATTTCTCCTCCATTTTTTGGAATATGAGGAAATGAACTGCGGTATGCCACTCCCAGCTTACACGCGGTTTGATTGGCTAGCGCTTGAACTGTCAGATTTGCATAAACGGGATTTGATTGACTGACGCTTCCACCTCAGCTTCAAAAGTTGAACATTGCTCAACTTTGAATCCTGAAAATCCTGAAAATCTCCGCTCTGCTTCCCACAATGCAGTTCGGCGAAAAGTGAGGCAAAGTGACGTCACCCCATTCAAAGTGAATGGGCAGAAGCGTTAGAAGATTTTTTTAACGCTGCTGTGTGGACGCTCCATAAGGGGAATACTTACTTCCGGGTGTACAATTCTCCGTTATCCAATGGGAATGGACGCTCACATTGCCTTTAACAGCCTCCGACACAAACGAATGCCGTGCTTCCTTAAGCGTCAAATACCGCCGCCGATGGGAATACATTGCAATCAGTTGAAAGCTCTTTGCGTCTGTTTATGAAGCTGAAGGAGCCTAGGAGCGTCCCAACTGCACGCCTCGGGACCCTGACCAAGCGTCGCTCCTGGACGTTTATGGAGTGAGAGTGTGTTGACCAAGGGGGGCCAGAGATATGGAAAATCCACCCAAATGACCCCAGAAGTGTTTTTTCTTTGCTAAATCTTTCTAAAAAGGTCAAATGTCACTTGTTTTGTAGAGATGGCAAATCCGGATCCTTTTACGGACTCAGGGTCTTCTGAGTCAGTCATTGAAGAGATCCGGATCATACGAGTCATTTGAGTCATATGAGTCAGCATCACCAAGACCGTAGAAATCCTATCGGTGAAACCGAAAAGTTGTTGCATTTCACGAGCATATTAAACTGACGTTATATTAACCTCCGCTACACAGTGTATTTTGCTTTAATAAAAAATGTTGATCACAAAAAAAAGGGTTATTTTGCGATTTGGCAAATCTGAGTCTGCTGTTGACTCGTGCATGAGGACGAGTCTGCTGGATCTCTGGATCTGCTGCTATATGGCTACGGCTCTGAGTTCGCACGAGTCTGCTGTGTTTTGCAAAGTGAGTCAGGATTTGCGAATCTGAGTCTGTGAAGTTCCGCTGACTAACTCGTAGGCTACTGGTCTCTCTCGATCATTGACCTGGATTCACGGATCCCGGCTCTGAGTCCGCACGAGCCTGCTATGTTTTGCACAGTGAGTCAGGATTTGCGAATCTCTGAGTCTGCTGTTGACTTGTGCATAATATAGCCGCGGGAGCCGGGTGCTGGAGGAGGGGCTATGCTCGTGCACATGACTAGTATGGATCTCTGGATCTGCTATGCTATTACGGTTAGGAGCCGTCGGCTCCTCTGAGTCCCCACGAGTCTGCAGGAAGTTTCACTGATCCGCGTCCCCCTCCCCTGAGCCAAACGATAACTTCTGGCCGGCAGCTATCCTATTTGCTAAAGGGTAGGCAGATGGACTGGGGTACGTTGTAATGTGATTTCACATGTTATAAAGAGAGTAGCGAGTGACGCAATTTATAGTTTTAATTTGTACGTCAGACCAAGTGTGGGACTCAAAGGACTCGGGTTAATGGAGAGGGGAGACTCGTCACGACCAGCTCATTTCTAGGATCCGGGTTAATGATCCGGATGAATCAGGACTCGCCCATCTCTATTGTTTTGCATCAATCTTGATACAGGGTACTTATTATATGTTGTACTTTGGATTCCTAAAGCTTTTAGTCTACTAACCCATCATCCAAGGGTAATTTTCACTATAAGTAAAAAATAATTTTTGGACGGACACTATAATTTACAGTTTTTTACTCTGTTCAATCTGAATTTTCTTAAAAATAAAAAACATCTATATTGATTCTGACTTTTCTACATCCAACTCACAGGTTTATCATTACTTTGAGAAAAAAGATTATTAATTTAACCCTTTTAGAAGGGAAGATATGGTCATCTCTGGGAATGTCATTTTCGAGCCTGAGACCTGAAAAACAGGCTCAGGGCTTAACAGGTTAAAAGTCCTTGTCATTTATTCACAAAAAAAAACCCTGAGCATTTCCTTTGACCTTCCAGCAAAAAGAGGGGAGGAAACTGTGTACGGTGAGGTGAAGGTGCAGAAAGAAACAAAGAACGAGGGTAAGTTGTATTAAAAAAATCATTCAGGTGTTACTGCAACTGGGAGTGCTACTGCTACCACTACTACCACTACTACACTACTTTACCATTATAACTATCATTAAAACAAGTTCACAGGAACTACTAAAGTTTATATCTGTAGGTGCTTTGTCAGTAATCCTAGCACTCTAACAAAGCCGTAAAGTATTGGGAGTGTGCAGTGTGACAAATGTCTTGCGGGCGGGGCATCCTGGTCTTATGAAAAAATGATGGTGGACAGCTGTTGTGCACCGACAGAAATGCTAGAGAGATGCATGTTATTTACGTTTGCTTTCTCTCATTCCAGGCTTCCTGATTATTTTCACCTGTGTCTCCTGTGCTCATCAATGTCAGCCCCGCCCCGGATTGGTCCCACCTGTGTCTAGTTACCCTGTGCTTATATTCCCCTGTCTCCCAAGTGTTCTTTGTCAGTTCGTATTGTCTCTTGCTATGGTCAGGTCTATGCTCTTTGTACTCTTGTAAAGTTTGATTCCTCACTACGTGAGCGCTTTCATTTTGTTCCTCTATTTTTGTCATCTCGGTTAGAGATTTGATAGTTACCTTTTTTGTTGTTCATTGCTGTATTTTGGAAAATAAAGTATCTTACTAATACTTTACCTCTGTCTCCCGGGTCGTGCAATTGGGTCCTACATCCTAAGTGTCTGAGTTCGTAACAGAACGAACTGACCATTATGGACCCAGCCGACCCAAGAACGCTTCACGCAGCGCTGTCAGCACAGGGCGTGAAGATCTTTCATCACGAGGAACAGCTGGGCCTAGTCAACCAGGAAATGCAAGAACTAAGAGGACGCCAGGCCGGGATTCAGGAAGCATTATCCACACAGATGCAACAACTGGCTGTCCAAATGAATCATTTTTTCACTCACCAACAGACTGCTCCTCCGGTGACGTCATCCACAACTGAGAGGTTGCCTGTCAATGCTCCAGCTGATTTCCCAAGTCAGGCTGTTTCTTCCCCTTTACGGCTGGCTCTTCCGGAGAGATTTTCCGGAGATTCTTCTAATTGCAGAGCCTTTTTGGTACAGTGCGATCTGCATTTTCCACACAACCCAGGAGCCTTTTCATCGGACCATGGTAAAGTGGCGTTTATTGTGTCTCATTTAACGGGAAGAGCTGCAGCCTGGGCTACTGCAGAATGGTCAAGAGAAACTGAACTATGTTACTCATTGACCGATTTCATAGAGACTATGAGTCGTATTTTTGACCACTCAACGCCTGCTACAGAGGCCAGCAGAAAACTTTTTCATATACGCCAGCTCAACCGCCAGGTGGTTGATTACGCCATCGAGTTTCGCACAGCAGCAGCGGACAGCGGATGGAATGTTCCGGCTCTTCGTGACGCCTTCATGACGGGACTTTCGGAACCGATAAAAGACCAGCTGGCTCCACTGGAGACACCCTGGGATCTGGAATCTCTCATCGCCGTGGCCATCCGGATCGATAACCGTCTTCGGGAAAGAGAGAGGGAGCGTCGACGCAACCGAGACGTTATTCCCAGCTCCCAGAATGCATCTTGGTGGGTCGCGCCGCCAGCCGAGGATGTCCAGCCCATGTTACCACACCGTCAGAGGATTACACTTCCGAATGACTCCGGGGAACCCATGCAGCTGGGAAGAACCAGGCTTTCTCTGGAGGAGAGGCAGCGCCGTCTACGGGAGGGTTGTTGTTTCTACTGCGGCCAGTCGGATCATCAACTCGCTTCATGCCCGGGAAAAGATCGTGCTCACCAGTCAAAAGGAGGGCGCTGGTGAGCAAGTTTCCCGCAGACTTTCCTCCTCGACCTGTTACGCAGGTAAACATTTGTATTAACAATCAAACCATTGACCAGGGTGTGTTAATAGACTCAGGGGCTGACGAAAGTCTTATGGACTGGGGCGTAGTAAATCAGCTAGAAATAAAGACTGTTCCGCTATCTCATCCTATTAATGCCAGTGCCTTAGACGGCCGCTTGTTGTTCACAGTCACCCATTGCACTGAGCCCATTCAGATTACTGTGAATAAGGACCATACCGAGAGCATGCAATTCCATATTTTTGAGTCGGCTCAGCACCCGATTATTTTGGGGTTTCCATGGCTAAAGATCCACAATCCTCACATTGACTGGCGTTCAGGGAAAATTAAGGAATGGGGAGAGGATTGTATGGGCAGGTGTAAACTTTCACAACCTGTTAATGCACCAACAGACTCTCGTAAAATCATTATAGATCACCCCGACTATCCTGATCTACAGAAGGTACCTTCCTGTTACCATGATTTAAAGGAAGCCTTTAACAAATCCAAAGCCATGTCGCTACCTCCTCACCGAGATTTTGACTGTCCCATTGATCTCTTACCGGGAGCCCCCATTCCCAAGGGGAAACTTTATTCGATTTCGAGACCTGAGAGAGCAGCAATGGACGAATACATTTCCTCTTCACTCAAATCAGGAATTATCCGTCCTTCATCTTCTCCAGCCGGAGCGGGATTTTTCTTCTTTGGGAAAGAAAGACGGGTCTCTGAGACCTTGCATAGACTACAGTCCACTAAATGACATTACGGTGAAGAACCGCTATCCTCTGCCACTCATGACATCTGCCTTTGAACTACTTCAAACTGCCAAAATATTCACCAAGTTAGATTTAAGAAATGCATATCACTTGGTTAGAATAAGAAAAGGGGATGAGTGGAAGACAGGATTCAACACTCAGAGTGGTCACTATGAGTATCTAGTAATGCCCTTTGGACTATGCAATGCACCGGCTGTGTTTCAAGCTCTTGTGAATGAGGTTTTACGGGAATTTTTGAATATTTCAGTGTTTGTGTATCTGGATGATATTCTGATTTTCTCCCCAGACACTAAGTCTCATGTTAACCATGTCCGTCAGGTTTTGCAGAAACTGCTAGAGAATCAGTTATATGTCAAGGCAGAGAAGTGTGAGTTCCACACAAAAGAGGTATCCTTCTTAGGATACATAATCTCACCTAATCATATGCAAATGGATCTGGCTAAAATCAGTGCAGTATCCCAGTGGCCTACACCAGACTCCAGGAAGAAGGTCCAACAGTTTCTAGGGTTTGCTAACTTCTATAGGAAGTTTATTAGGAATTTCAGTTCTGTTGCTGCCCCTCTACATGTTCTGACTTCTCCTAAGGTTCCTTTCAAGTGGACTCCCCAGGCGGACTTCGCTTTCCAACGTCTCAGAGAGAGATTCACATCAGCCCCCATACTCACCATTCCAGATCCCCAGCGCCAGTTTATGGTCGAGGTTGATGCTTCCAATGAGGGAATTGGAGGAGTACTGTCTCAACGTTCTGCAGAAGACAACAAGATGCATCCATGTGCTTACCTGTCGCGGAAACTGACAACGGCAGAGCGGAATTACGACGTGGGGAACAAGGAACTGTTAGCTGTAAAAGCTGCCCTCGAGGAATGGAGACACTGGTTAGAGGGTGCAGAGCAGCCGTTTTTAGTCTGGACAGATCACAAGAATCTGGAATATATAAGAAAGGCTAAGCGTCTCAACTCCCGTCAGGCCAGGTGGACACTATTCTTTAGTAGGTTCAATTTCACCCTCTCTTTTCGTCCCGGGTCTCAGAATCAAAAACCCGATGCTTTGTCTCGTCTTTATGATCCGGAACCACTTGCGGTAGAGCCCAAGACCATCCTTCCACTTAACCGTGTGATCGGTGCCTTTTCCTGGCAAGTGGAGTCGGACGTAAAAAAGGCGAATGTCAAGAATCCAGCACCTAGCGAGTGTCCCAACAATCTGCTGTTTGTTCCTGAGGCTCTTCACTCCAAGGTCATCCACTGGGCTCACTCATCTGTGCTTTCGTGCCATCCGGGGGTAACGAGGACAATGTTCAGGATACAACAACGTTTCTGGTGGCCAGCCATGAAGAAAGATGTGGCAGAGTACGTAGCGGCTTGTCCGGTGTGTGCGTGTAATAAGACCTCATCACAAGTCAAGATGGGCTTGCTCCAGCCCCTGCCGATTCCCCAACGTCCTTGGTCACACATTTCAATGGATTTTGTGACAGGATTTCCTTCATCCAGAGGCAAGACTACGGTCCTAACAGTGGTGGATCGATTTTCAAAGATGGCTCACTTCATCCCATTGACCAAGCTTCCCTCTGCCAAAGTCACCGCAGAGGTCATGATGAATCACATATTCAGGATCCATGGATTCCCTGATGACATTGTTTCCGACAGGGGTCCACAATTCATTTCCGTTTTCTGGAAGGAGTTTTGTCGACTCATAGGTGCCACCGTCAGCTTGTCATCAGGATATCATCCTCAGTCAAATGGACAGTCGGAGCGTCTGAACCAGGAACTAGAGACTACGCTACGTTGTCTCGTCTCCCGGAACCAGACTACCTGGAGTGACCACCTCACATGGGTCGAGTTTGCCCACAATACTCTTCCTACGGCAGCCACAGGTCTCTCTCCATTCCATTGTGTCAATGGTTTCCAGCCTCCATTTTTCCCTAACAACGAGGAAGAGGTGAGGGTTCCATCGGCTCATGCCATGATCAGACGTTGTCGACGAGTTTGGGCTGGTGCTCGCCAGGCTCTTCTCCGAAGTTCAGCTCGGATGAAGGCTGTTGCAGACGTCCATCGCAGGGTCGCTCCCTCCTACAGACCAGGCCAAAATGTTTGGCTTTCCACTAAGGACTTACCACTCCATGTCGCCTCAAAGAAACTGGCTCCGACATTTGTGGGTCCTTTCCCGGTGTCCAGAGTCATCAACCCGGTGTCTGTACGCTTGCAACTCCCCAGAACTATGAGAGTACATCCGACGTTTCACGTCAGTAAAATCAAGCCGGTGTGCGAGAGCACACTTGTTCCCGCCTCCAAGCCCCCTCCACCGCCCGAGTTCTTTGAAGGGGGTGAGGTTTACAAGGTCCATAAGCTACTGGAGGTCCGTAATAGGGGGAGGGGGAAGCAATTCCTGGTAGACTGGAAGGGTTACGGTCCTGAGGCTAGAAGCTGGGTAGCTGCGTCATTTATCGTAGACAAGACGCTTATCCACGATTTTTACAATCAGCCTGGGCCATCAGGAGTTGGCCCTAGAGGGGGGGGTACTGTTGTGCACCGACAGAAATGCTAGAGAGATGCATGTTATTTACGTTTGCTTTCTCTCATTCCAGGCTTCCTGATTATTTTCACCTGTGTCTCCTGTGCTCATCAATGTCAGCCCCGCCCCGGATTGGTCCCACCTGTGTCTAGTTACCCTGTGCTTATATTCCCCTGTCTCCCAAGTGTTCTTTGTCAGTTCGTATTGTCTCTTGCTATGGTCAGGTCTATGCTCTTTGTACTCTTGTAAAGTTTGATTCCTCACTACGTGAGCGCTTTCATTTTGTTCCTCTATTTTTGTCATCTCGGTTAGAGATTTGATAGTTACCTTTTTTGTTGTTCATTGCTGTATTTTGGAAAATAAAGTATCTTACTAATACTTTACCTCTGTCTCCCGGGTCGTGCAATTGGGTCCTACATCCTAAGTGTCTGAGTTCGTAACAACAGCTGCACTGTCTTTTCTCCCGTTTGTTTTTGACATATCTAAAATAGGTTATAATCATAGTACGCACAAGTCTTCATGTCAAATCATTGTTGACTTGTTTTAAGTTACAAAAAAGTACTTATTTTAAGCCAAACCAAGACCTTTTACCAGAGTATTCAGGTCCTTTAGTAAAACTACTGATACCATGCGGTAAAATTATCCTTTACAAGTAGAAGTACAGCATTGAAAATATTACTTGAGTAAAAGTAAGTAAGTATAAAAAGCAAACTGTACTTAAAGTAATCAATGTACACGACACAGAAGTTAGAAATTAAAGAAAAACACCCAAAAAACGGTTCTAATTCAATTAAATTGAAAATAATAATGCATCTGAATTATTAACTTACTATAAATGTAGTGGAGTAAGATATATGATACCTTTGAATTGTAGTTGAGTTAAATCATACAGTGGCATGAAAAGAAAATACTCAAGTAAAGTAAAGTACCTCAAATTAAGTACAGTATGATTAAATGTATTCAGCAACATTCTACCACTGCCTTTTACTAAACTTTATAAAGTGGTTTTATTGCTTGTTTTTTTTTATCTGCAACGTTATTAACGTGTTAACTGTGAATGACTCAGACTAATTATGAGGTTCGTTTTTAGGAAATCTATTGCGAACGGTTATTTAGAGATTGAACTTTTGTGTTGTACTGCAATAATGTTAGTGACTAATACTCAAGACCTACCGTAACTCTCACTGGAACACTTTTAGCAAAGTACATAAAGCAGTTTCTCAAAACACAATGGGTTCACAACTCTTTAAGTCCATATCCATATGTCCATATCACTCCTTTTGTTTATTTAGGCCATTTCTCATACAATGTAAGTGATAGGGGACCAAATGTACTCCTTTGTTCTGAACTGTATTCCAAAGTTTGACTGACTAATATAAGGTTCAAGCATCTGAGTTAGTGGTATCCTTTCCTGTCTTTTACCTTTTACTCATAAAAAAAAAAGATCCATCTGCATTTACCATACTGTATACTGTCCTAGTTGAAAAGTGTCACAATATCTGTACTAAGGAGACTGTAACTTTGAAAGGTACCAATCTTCATTTGGACAGTTAATGTGATTAATTTGTGTTGTTTAGACTCAGCAGGACATCGGCGGTTTCAGCACTTGGCTTGTTGTTTGGGGATTCTTTGTGTCATTCTGCTGGGTGGCATCATCGGAGTCTGCGTCTTCCGTAAGTACACAAAACAGGAAGTGCATTATCTCACACTTAGACATAAGACAAACTTTAAAGAATATTAGCAGCCGTTTTATCTGTTTATACCATTTGATATCAGTCATGTACATGCCACAGTATAACGGTGTAGAAAGTATTATTATGAGCGTCTTACGGAGTGGTGCAATGATGACGTATTTTTGAAGGCCAACATGGAGGTAGCATCCATTAATGCATTGTGCTTGTTTTCCCAAATGAAGCAAAATTATCAATCAAGAAGCCGTTCATGTGGATGAATACATTCATTTGTTTGAGACTTTCCTATACTGTCACCATTACCTGCAGGCACCATTAGTGGGAAATACAGACAAGTATGAATACAAATAATTAAAATATAAGTCGAGTCATATTCTATATTTCTCTTATTCTTAACAAATCACATGATCAGTCCCAAATGACAATGAAAGTCTATCTAATGCCAATCTATTAACAAATGTCATGTGTCTTTCATGTTACTGAGTCTCTGTGAAGTTCTGAGTTTATCTCACACTCACTACCCACCAGCGCTCGCTATTTCACAAAATGTGTGGCTTGAAGACTTCCCCATTTCACTCCTTTCTTAGTAATGTTGACTTCAAACCACAGTGACAAGCAGTTTCAGGCAATGTGAAATATTAATGAGAATTTGAGAAGTCAGAACACTTTGAGACGGACCGAGACATTTTTAGTTTGAGTCTAAAGACCGGAAAACTTAACGTGAGACTGACAGGAAAAAGCTTCCAAAAGAGGCAAATTGACAAAAAAACTAATTGCAATATTACCTTGATTATAAAAGAAGCTAATTTCTCATTTTGCAGTTGCTACATTAAGCCATGAGAGTGATCCAAACCGGTTTAAAGAAAACTCAACTCTACGGGCAAACAACACAAAACTCAGCTTCGAAAATGCAAACTTGACGACGGACAACAAGAATCTGGCGGACCAGTTGGGCAACCTGACACAAGCCTATACTGTCTCAGAGAGCAACAACAAAAACCTGTCTGCAGGAGTCCAGGAGCTGAACACACGAAACCAGGAGCTGGAGACTGAGAAGAAGAACTTGAAACAGCAAATACAAAACATGACAACAAACTGGAATGAGCTCAACGTCAGTCGAGCTCAGTGGAGCATCGATTCCTACTGCTTAGGAAATACCAGTATGTTCAGATCCTATATATTAGGTCATAATTACAATATTTTCAAAAGGCAGTCATGTTGTTGATTGTTTGGACTCTGTTGTTTCAGATAAAAAGTGTCAAGCTTGTCAGAAGGGCTGGGGACTCACTGGTCTCAGCTGCTATGCGTATAATAACCCTCAGCCTCCTAATCGAAAAACCTGGGAAGAAGCTCGAGAAGACTGCAAAGGAAAGAATTCAGATTTGGCTGTTGCACATAATCCTGCTGAAAAGGTAAGTCTATTAATATGACGCAATTAAGAAAAGAAATGTGTTTTGTGTAGGTTTGAACACACTTTGGGTCTTTAAGTCATTATGTGTTTAGTACAGTTTAATGTTTAAATATCTGACAACTCTCTCTGTTTTCCAGGAAGCAATCAATGAAAAAAGCTTTGGATCTAATGGATTCTGGATTGGTCTGAGAGTTGTAAATAAGAAATGGGAGTGGGTGGATGGAAGTAATCTGACTGATAGGTAAGAGACACATTACTAAACACTATGAATAATAACATCTATCAGTCTTTATCTAAACATCATGTTCTCTCCTCAGCTCCTGGATACCAGATCCTGTTGACGGTCACTGTGCAGTGTTTTACAACAGAAACTACAAGGGCAGATACTGGTACAGGGGCAAGGGCAGCAGCTACTGGTACTCAGCGAGCTGTGATGAGAAACAACGATGGATCTGCAAGAAGAAGCCTCTGTCTGTTTAAACAAAGCAGTCATTCTAAGAAGGTTACTGGAAACTCTTTGAAAAAAATATGAATTATTTGTTAATAAAAACAATTTCCAAACAAAATATAAAACAAAAAAAGTATAAAAACAGTAATTCCAGAAACGTTTCACAAACTCGTAATGTGGATTATTTTAAACTCGATGTACTTTTAGTTTGACTTAATTCCTATGGAGCTTGCTAAATTAATGCAAATATTTCTTTCTTTAAAATGTGTATGGTGTTTTTATTAGATATGGATGGTTAAAATAGTTATACTGTTTTGTGTGAATAATGTTATTCTATTGTGTTAGAGATGCAACGCTTAAACTCAGCAGATTATTGTAAAGATTATGGACCATTTTATTTGATTGCTTCTACCGGCCAACAGAGGGCGCTGCATCACTTGTTCTCAATACAATGTTCCAGAGTCTGTTAAATAATCATTTCCAAGATTCAAGATTCAAAGGTTTATTGTCATGACATTTAGAAACTACGGTGTAATTATGTAATGTATAAAAAATGTGATCGCAGGTTCCTTAACAGTGCAATTAACAAGACATAAGAATTACATATAAAAAACAACAATACAAATAAAAATAGTGCAAGCTCAGGTGTTTAATAGTCTTATGGCCAGTGGGATGAAACTGTCCCTGATACTATTCTGATGACGCACACTTTATGGATGATTTGTATCTATCTGTATTTTTGTCTATGAGCAATGTCTTGTTTTACTCTGTTGTCACCATGAATAAATGTGCTGCCACACATTGTTGTTTTTGTCTTTTCCTTGAATACATCAGTGCTTTAATCAAGTCTGGAGAAACAATCTTATTCATGGTGCGACCATTTGGATGAAAATAAGATAGAAGGAGATAAGGCCTTAACCTGTTACGCACGGCCCCCCCCGGTACCGGGCGGATAAACGCGTCATTTGCAGGAAACAACGTCTAAGGAATCTTAATATTTAATAAAACTATGAATGTTTTATATCCATGTAACGGGAAGAAACTCAGCTAACTGATCTTTTTAATTTAAAAACCCACAATAAAACGGCACTTAAACTCACTCTAACTCCATTATTACTTATCCTTGATGCACAGCCAACCACTCGTTTTTGGTGTCCTGGAGACACTGAATCTAGTGGTGCCCTCCTCAACAATCAATGATAAACATTTGCGACGCTATAAACGAAAGCCTACATCATAACATGTGGAGCTAAGTAACTAGAAACGCTAACATGGCTTACCTTGGTCAAAACTGGTCTTCGGGGAGCAGCGACATGTGAGGACGCAGTTTTCTGAGCTCTGCTTGGAAAGAACATTTAAACAGTTATTTTCGCCTCTTTTCTCGCTCCCGTGGGGCAAATGTGTCTCTAAAGTGTTCAGCTATCTAAAAGTGACCGTGTTTTGAATTGGTTGTACATAAAACTCTCAAAAAATGCCGAAGAGCCAAAGATCGAAGCCAGGCCCAAACGCCACGGACTCGCCTGAGAAAGTCACGGCCGGGTCGGCGGAGCTGCTGTCGGATACACAGACAATCATGGTCGCCCTAAAGCAGACTGAGCAGTGTGTGCTAACTAAGATCGACTCAACGGTGACGGCGGCTGTAGGTGAATTGCACACCAAAATAGACAACTTGTCGAGGGACTTAAGATCAGAAATCTGCAATGTGCGCACAGAGTTTGCTAAGGTTGTTGAAGATGTTAAGAAGGAGAACGCAACTTTCGTAACGCGCATTGAAGACCTTGAGGAGGGGGCTAATTGCTATGCTAACCGGGTAGTTGAACTCGAGGCTAAAGTTCCTACGCTGTCCTCACAAGTAAACAGGTTGGTGGACAAAACCGAAGATCTAGAGTCTCGACAACGGAGAGATAATTGTCGACTAATCGGTGTGGCGGAAGGGACTGGAAATATTCGACCAGAGAAAGCCATAGCTCAACTACTGCAGGATGCTCTGAGCCTGGACTACACACCGACGCTTGACCGTGCACATAGGGGCTTACAGCCGAAACCAGCTGATGGGGATGCCCCGAGGCCGATCATCATTAAATTCCACTACTTTCAGGAGAAAGCAGATATTATACGGAAAGCCATGGGAGTGGGGCCCATCTTCCACAACGGCAAGCGTTTCTACATCTACCCGGACTACATGCTCTCGGTGAGGAAAAGGAGGGCGGCCTTTACTGAGGTCCGGGGGCTGCTGCGCAGATGCCCTGGTGTGAAGTATGGTCTTGTGTATCCAGCCACACTTAAAATCACAACCTCAGCTGGTGAGCAAAAGTCATTTGAAGACCCAACCAAGGCAAGGCACTACATTGAGACGGATTTGCACCCGCGGGACCCGGAGGGAGAGTGATAATCAATATTGGGGCCATGACATGTACTGTTGGAGCTGCAGGATAATGTCACAGCTTGTGTCACAGTGACTAAATGTTTGACTGTTAATTACACTACAGTTGGTTGCGCTTTATGTGTGGACTATGGACAATGATGAGTCAGGGAAATGACAACAATGCAGATTTTCTTAAGTTATAGCTGTTTGTATCTCCCAACTGTAGGTATTTAAGGCTGTTTTAAGTTATGACCACATAAGTGCAGCAATGTCGGTGCTATGAGAGGGGCCATGTTTCATTTAAATTCATATTGTTCTGCCCTTGCACAGTTCAGTTGAGAGTTTAGGCTAGTCTTGACGTGTTATGCCTAAGAGTAGGATGAGTGTTTGTAGGGCAGTCTCAGGTTTTAAGAAGACCAGCCCAGGGATCCAGGATGGTAAGAGTTTATTTGTTACTTTTTTAGCTTTTGTCTGTTTTATGGTATTTTTTTGTTTTTCTATTGTTTCATGCCTTAACCCAAGATTGCACATATGTGTTCAGATTTTGCCAGCTTTCAAGTCCAGACCATGTATCCAGTGGCAGAGTTATGGCTCCTGATGCTGTAGACAAACAACAAGGTGCATTCTCTTTCATCAGCTGGAATGTCAAAGGCCTAAATAACATGGTGAAACAGAGTCAAATATTTGCCCATTTAAAATCATTGAAGCCGGATGTGATGTTTCTGCAGGAAACACATCTGAATATTAACTCCCAAAAGAGACTAAGATGCAGTTGGATTGGACAAGTGTATCATTCACGTTTTGATTACAAAACCAGGGGCACAGCAATTTTAATTAGAAAGGGGATACCTTTTGAACTCTCTGAAATAATATCTGATCCCAACGGTAGATATATTGTTGCAGTTGGGAGGTTGTTTAATACTCCTTTAATATTGGCTAACATCTATGGACCGAATTGGGATGACTCACAGTTTTTCATAAACTTATTTTCAGCTCTCCCTGACCTCAATACCTATAAATTGGTATTGGGTGGTGATTTTAACTGCGTTCTCCATGCCCACCTTGACAGATCCAACCCTAGACCTAATAGTACCCTGTCAACATCTGCGATAGCTATAAACTCCTTCCTGCGCTCCTGTGGCCTATCTGACCCGTGGCGGGCAAAACATCCTAATACTAAACAATTTTCGTTTTTCTCCCCTGTCCACCATAGCTATTCCAGGATTGATTATTTCATTGTAGATGACCAATTACTTCCCTTAATCCCCAGGAGCCAGTACCACAGCATTGTGTTATCAGACCATGGTCCAGTACAAATGGATATGATGTTTCCTGGTAATATAGCACCCCAACGCACCTGGCGTCTAGACCCCCATTTGCTTTCATATGAACACTTTAAAACTTACCTCAGTGACCAGATTGACTTTTTTCTAGAAATTAATGACACCAAGGATATTTCGAGGAGTGTTCTATGGGAATCCCTAAACGCTTACATCAGGGGACAGGCTATTTCATACACTGCACATCAAAACAAAGAGCGATCTAAGAAACTTAAAGAACTGACACACAGCATTGCAGATGTTGATAAACGGTATGCTCTCTTGCCCACGGCAGATCTTTTTAAAGAAAAAGTACTGCTTCAATCTGAATTTAACACACTTTCGACGTGGAGAGCTGAAAAAAATATTTTAAAAACTAAACAGGTTTACTATGAACATGGGGACAGAGCAGGAAGACTCCTTGCACTTCAGCTTAAGCAGCAGGCGGCTGGACAGACGATCCCAAGGATCAATACAGGCGCCGATTCGGCTTCGCATAATCCCCAAATAATTAATGACCAGTTTAAGAAATACTATTCTACTTTATATCAATCAGAGGTAGATGTTAACTCGTCTGGAATTCAGTCGTTTCTGGATTCCTTACATATCCCAAAACTTTCACCAGACTCCCAGTGCTCCTTGGAACAGCCATTAACGGTTGGAGAAATAGAAAACGCAATCAGACTGTCTAGTACAGGGAAGGCACCAGGCCCGGATGGGTTTCCCATCGAGTTTTATAAGGAATACTCCTCAAAACTTGTGCCGGTTTTAAAATCGGTATATGAAGAATCACTGGTTAATGGTAAATTGCCACCAACACTCTCTCAAGCGACAATTTCAGTGATATTGAAAAAAGACAAGGATCCCTCACAGTGTAGTTCCTATAGACCAGGGGTCGGCAACAGGCGGACCGCGGTCCGGATCCGGACCCAGACGCCGACCTATACGGACCCGGACCTATAATCAATACATAAATAGGGGATTTCAATTTCGACGTGGCGATTCTATTTTAACCGCTGCCGACAGGGGGCGAAAGAGACGAGTGAGCGATACAGGGAGAGAAACACAGAAGAAGAGATGAGAGAGCGGCAGAGAGAAGCGGAGAGGAAAGTGAGTAAAGAATAATTAGTGATACAGGGAGAGAAGCGGAGAGGAGAGTGAACAGGCGTGTTAGCAGCAGACAGGGAGAGACAAATAATTACACATGGCGCTCTCCAAGAAGAGGAAAGTGGACAGTGAGAACAGAGCTTTTAACCCTGAGTGGACTCATTCATGTTCATCCTGCCCACTGGGAGCACAGAGCCAGTGTGTCTCATTCAGAGACCGTGGCGCTCATTAAAAGTGCCAAAATGCCACTATGAGACAAAACACAAAGTGTTTGACCAAACATTCCCTCTCAAGTCAGAACTGAGGTCACAAAAAATAAGCAGTCTCAGAGCCCAATATGATCAGTCCACCAGGATCAAAATTAAAACTAAATATCGTTTCAGGGCAGGCTAACCGAGGCTAACCAATGAGCACCTGCATGTGTATGAGAATGGCCCTGACACCATTTCAGCCCAGATTTAAACTCCTGGCAGGACAAGCTCGAGCTCAATTCTCGCACTGAATTAAAAAAAAGTGAGTGAGGGACTGCAATATAAGAGGGAAAGGAAGAGAAACTTTAAAACTGTTCAGTTGTTATGATGTGTAAAGACTGATATTGTTCTATAATCGGCTGAAACTGTTAGGTCATGATGTGAAACGGTTAACAAAGAAAAAGGGAAACTCAAGCTGCTGCTACACTTTATTTTATTGATCTAAAATTAAGCACTTTTAAGATGCACATATTTTCAAAAGCTATTTTATTTATTTTCTCCTATTTTATTTTTAAATGCAGCCAGAGAGGAACATTACACATATCCACAGTATTTACTGTATATCTGTATAGTTCAATGTTAATTGACAATACATATTGTTGTTTTTGAATTGTACTTTCTTTATTTGATTGGCAGTCAGTTGTTGATGACATGCAGACGTTGATAAAGCTACAGGCTAATTCAATATATATCACACTAATTCATAAAGCAACTTAGACATTTTGATGTTCCGGACCTTT